TCAGCAGAAAACTTAATATTGGTGCATATTGGGACAACTTGTGATGTAGCCACTTGGAAAAGAAGTAAATTAAACGAAAGCCAATATAAATTCTGTCCCTCGTGCTCTCTATGGGTACCAAATCTAGAGAGGTCTGAGACTTCCCCACTGATTCAGCTCTTCTTTTGGGAGTTTGGAGGTTACTGCTTCCAAATTCAAGATCCCCAAAATTTGAAATATCTCATCCATTAGAGAATTCAAGCTCCAGCCTCTACACTTAAAACAAAGGCAAACTATCAGTCATTTAGAATAGTAATGATGTGTCTTTTTGTCTCTCTGACAGTCATATTTGTGTAATATGCTTCACAGCAGTCAAAAGATTATAAGTACCACTTTGACTCTTTCAATCCAAAATCTGCAATCACAAAATAACAAATTTAACAAACAAAAGGTAAAACTTTCAAAAGTTTCAAGCTACATCCACCCATATAATTAAAATGAGCTCACAGGCAGTGAAAAAAACAGTACACTCACTGAATTAATAACCATTCCCACGAACATCTGCATATTTTATGAGTTGCAGATGTGTATTTATACTTTAAACATAGCCACATTAAAGTATGACACAGTTTGTCATATATTTGCTGTGTTTTCATGACAAAAACAGCTCTACAGAAAAACAGAGAACTTCTTTAAAAGCAATTATAAAAAGCATCTTGAGACATCTTTATGCATTTTATGATACTGTACATGCAAAATAATGTTTTTATTATAGTTGGGTAACCCATTCAGATAAACACAGCAAGAAAAGCTGGTTTTACTGTTCATCTAAGTGTTTTTAAAAAGACCACTGCAAAAAAATTTTACTTCAAAAACATGTGTAAAAGCATGGCATAACTTTTAGATGTCATTGAGATTAGCAAAAGTCAAGAAACTGCTTCAGATGCAGTTTAATTCTTAGATGGCTGTTTTAACTTCCAACAGAGTTTTCAAAATAGTGCCCAAATGCCCAGTGCTTGTTGAACAAATTCTGATTTATTGAAGGTAAACATTTACATTGGCTACAATGCTATAGCTGTTACAAAGCTGAATAAAAGAGGCTTAAATAGCAATAGAAAGCAAGTGCAGTAAAAAGTGAATAGAGAAAATATTTGGCCTTAGTGATCTTCTGGCAGTATTTACATTATCTCCATTTTGTTAAATATTTGAGTTACTCTAAGGCACCATAGGCTAAATAGCAGGCTGCAGTATGATTTTTGTGCACAAAATTTAATAAATTTATTTGGAGAAAAAAAGGCTATGGTGTTAAAAGAAACATTGGCATATTTTATGTTTACATAAAAGACTGGCTGTTTGTTAAAGTTCAAACATACAATATATACTAGGTAAGTTCAAAAATTATTTTTAGAACATTAAATTAAATGTCTATGTATAAGGAATATTTTTACTGACTTTTTGATAAATGACCAATGCAATCTTCTAAACAGATTTTTAACACAGTAGATATGTTCATCTAAAAACTAATCTTTTTTTCCCCTTTACAAAAGCCTTATGCCTAGTACATGTACAAAATCCCAATGCAAAGTGTAATGGGCAGTAATTTACATCCTAGCTATTCTGTGTCAGACTGAAACTTAGCGGAAGCATGCAATCAAAACGCTATGGAACAGCAGTTCAAGCTGTCTTATTCCTTCGGCTCTCGTCAGTGGCTGTTGCTGCAGCCAGTGAGCAGGAGTACAACACTAACATGCCAGGACAGACAGAGGAGGTCAGTGCTTTCAGACCGGTTTCCAAACACAAATTGGGAAATTCAAACTCCTGGCGACATCCTTGTGCACTTCACACAGAACGGTGCACACAGAATGACGCTCTGCTTGGAGCAAACTTTCCCGTTTTTATTTATCCCCTTTTATTTATCCCCTTTTATTTATCCCCTTCTGAAGCACATGTCACTCCACTCCTGAGTGGAATTTTTTTAAGGAATAAATTCATCTGACTGTACTCAAGATCCTTTCTGAACAACTTCAGGTGTTTCACAGAATCCTAACTGATCTACAAGCAACAGACCTTGCTCGGTTTACTCAACAGGCTCATCCTTCACCTTGAGGTGGTGTTTGTAATGAAGAAATTGCACAGACACCAGATTAACACCTGAATTTTGCAAATAAAACACCACAGGATGCTGTGTGCCACAGGAGAGAAGAGAATGGGTGGCCAAGGCCATTCCAGCTGCAGCAGCACTGCCAGCAGAGGCTGCATGTGGTGAGTCATGGCTCATATTCTTTGTATCTCACTTTCATTTCCCAAAGCCAAGAAAAAAATCTGTCTAAATTATTATAATTCTTAAGTAACTAGATACTACTTTTGCATTTCTTAGAGTTTGGGGATTTTTTTTGTATCTCCTTCTTAACCATGAATCTTTTAATTCAGTTGTTCCCTTTTGGATGTCTTTTTCCATTTTGTATTTATCCTTGTAGGAATTAAGCTAATTGTTTTCACAATAGTAAGTGATTATAAGCAAAGTTTAATTGATCTATGCACAAAGTCTTAATCTGGAGTGAGTTTTTATTTTTATTAACAAAGGACAATCAGCATAATTCATCAGATGCATTTTTAGTACCAACAGCTATATGTTAAAATAATTCGGCTTAAGAATTTTTTCAAGGGCTGTAGAGGAAAAAAGTTAAGCCTAAAATATTCCAGTGTCATTGATTAGTTCTTGTAAAACATTAACCAAAATATTACACAACCTGGCCACTTCATGGTAAGTAATAGGAAGCCAAAGATTTGGTTATCAAAGCAGTGTAGTACTGTTGAAGACAACAGGGCCATGTTGATTCATATCATAGAAGAAGATACTTCAAATTAATTCAGCCCTTGAATGCTCACTACTTGCCTGAATCTCAAGGAAGATTTAAAAGCATATTTCTGGATTCCTTTCACAATATTTAAATACTCAGCAGTATAAATACAGCAATTCATAATTAGGGTGCAACATCAAAGGACTAACACAATTTTTTGTCAAACCTTTCCACTGTGAGGAGGGCTTGCATTTTGTTGTAGGATGTAGCAAGAAGTTAGAAAATTATTTACCTATAACTCCCTTGGTTGCTCCATACTGGCTATGGTGACAGCAATGACTTAGTGGAAATTTCTATCAAGAGAGATGGCAGAGCCTGGGGCTCTACTTGCTTTGATTAAAAGCCATCTTTGGAAAGCCTGCATCTTTTACAGCAGGAGTTACAATGACTGGTCTGTCACTAATATGTGAGCATGGTAAGCGAGAAAGGAAAATGCAAGGGCTCTGGCCATAACACAGGGTCTTGCTCTGGGATTTTTATTTTTCATCCCCTGGATTCCATGTTAATGCAAGTTATTTGGAAGCATTTGGCTACATGCAACTGCTACCTTTGCAAAAAACCTCAAAGGAAAATCCTTCAAAGAAAATCTTATCCTCAGGCTTTTTCATTCCAGTTCTTGGTGATAAAAGTCTTTTGGCTTTGACGTTTCCTATATAAGGAGTAACAGATGCCAAATGAACATGCCTCCTTCCCCTCATCTTTTGAAAATAATGAGAACTAATACTTTGTTAAATGATCTGAAGATTCAAATTCCCCTGCAAATAATACAAAGCTTTGGAAGTTTCTCATTAATATACTGGCTAAAGAAAAATGTGACTGAGTTTCTGGCCAAAGAATTTTGTTCTAGCTCAATTGCTGTTTATGTGTGACACCAGGCTTATGTCTCTGCACTGTAGCCTAGTGACAGCTTTTCAAGTGGCCCTGTTGCCCCAGGCATGATGCTGGGGCATGCTTGGACTGCCCCATACTGCTATGGGCTGTGTATCCCCACACTGCAGCTTGGTTCTGCCAGTCCCTTTTCCTGCCATGCACCACGTGGGACCTGAGCTGCTAATGCCATCTTGTCCCTTCAGAACTACCTTTCTCCCTGAAAGGCTTTGCCCTCTTCAACTGGTTTGTAACCCCTGTGCTTGTCACAATCTACCTTTTATTCTTGTTCACTATCCTTCTCCCCTCTTAAGTCAGTCACCAAAGTTCTCCCTGAGACAGGTACAACAGCAAGGCCTCCATACAACTTGGAGTCCTGCTTTCCCCCACACTGTCCCTTGCTGTGGCTCATCCATTTAAAGCAAACCTCGAAGCAGTCTTAAAATTTGGCAGCAATGTATTTTTCTCTTCCCTTTCCTGGGGTTGTACTTATGATGGCACCATGCATGACCAGTATCACAACACCACAATCCAAACAGAGGTCAACTCATTAGCTACATTTCAGATTCCTTTCTTCAAGGGTTTAATTTCTGACCCTGCTATAAACTTGAGGGGACAGGGAAGATGACTGTTTACTTGGCTTCTCCAGTTCACTCATTCTCAACTCTCTTTTCTCCTGTTCTTTTTAAAAAAAGGCATCCCAGAGTGGTGGACTATCAGCTCAGGAAATAATCATAGAACATCTTTGTAGACTTGCTTCCCAGTTTCTTTTTGTTAGGCAAAACAGAGTGATTCAGACACATATGGGAGCACCATTACAGAGATGGTCACGCCAGGGTTTCAGCTCCACTTCTGAATTATGTTGACTTTTTGCAGTTACACAATCTATGGCAGTCCTTATGTAGACAGACAAATTTCTGGAAACTTCTTTGTTTCAAGAAGTTAACCTGTGTCCCAACATGAAAGACAACAATTGGAGTAGTGTTTCTCTAAGAGGTCCACCAAATGAGAGCGCAAGTCAATAGAACTAACAGCAAAATGGGGATATGCAAACAGAATTTGCTTTACAAGTCTGGATATGAACCCAGAAAAATTAACACTAAAGCAAATAAGTGTAGAATGCTAAAATACATCCCATGTATGCTCCTAGGCCAAATACCACTATTAACTTGTAGGGCACTTCAACTGCAGCAAGTAATACAGGAGTGTAGCATGAACTAGAAGGAAGGAATCATCCATTACAGCATATCTAAATCAGTTCTCTTTAAAAGAAACAAACACAGCTGTGCTCTCTTGTGCTGTTATTTGGTGCTTTAGTATCTTTATTATGAAAGTAACATAAGAGAGGTTTCAGTCTATTTTTGCTTTCTGAGGTGGCTCACAGTAGTTGCACAGATGGGAAAGTTCAACTGCTCTCCATATTCAAGGGTGTGATTGATGCTTCGGGATAGCCACCATGAGGGCTGCCAAAGGCATTCATCAGGGCACAGGGTATGCTTTTTGTCTTGGAGATTGGACCCTTCTCTATCTGTGTTGCCATCCTACTCACTTGGAAAAAACCATAGTTAATTTAAAAGACAGAGATATTTAAATTGATTTCTTATAGCTTAGAAATTAACTAATAAAACTATTTTACCAAGACAAAAATCAGTAGAATTTTGCATTTGTATATATTTTCTGATGTACCAACAATCAACTCAACCATGTAAAAGCCTTAACTCAGCACATACTTTAAAATATCTGGATAAATTTCATCACAGAGCAATTTCACTGAAGTTAAGATGCAAACATTAAAAAACCTTGTTGATCTAATGAAATTGTAAAATCTAGTATATAAACCCAAAAATTCTAAAAAGAAAATTAACAGCTTTAGGTTTTCCAGGTGTTTCTGAGGCTTATATAATTAAAAAATGCAACTGAGCTGCTTAATGGGTAAGACAGTGTTCCAGAGAAAATAAAGAAAGCTGAACATATACCATCACATTCATTTTGCTTTGTTGCACCCAGTAAATAAAAAACGCATTGTTGTTTTCACCTTTGAGTCTAAATTCTAACTGCATTTGAGTAAAATAAAAAGAATCAAAGACAGCTGCAGGTAACCAATCTCTTCAATTTTACATATTCCAGACAACCTTTTATTGTGTTTTAATACGAGAATATTTTACTTATTGCAAAGTATCCTGCATAATACAGGTGCTCCGCTATAAAATCTTCTCTCTTACTTGTAATTCAGTCATTCTAAATTTAAAATACCAGTATACAGTACTAAAACTTCCAATTGAAGTTTAGTATAAAAATATCAGCACAAAAGTCCTTTTTAATGCCTGTTTATTGTGAGCAACCCAAATGCCTATTAATTATTAATTGTTTTAGTATAATAATAGACTTTGCACCCCTACAGTTGCTAATTGATATCATCTCAGGTATTTTGATGAGATACGAAATACTAAGTAAGAAAACAGTAAGTATTCAAATGGTTAATTTGCTTAGTGTAGTAATAATAAATTAGTTTTTTGCATCTTCTTCAGTTCAAAATCCAGCTTTGAGACTGAGGAAGGCTTCACATCAATTAAATAAGAGTGGTCCTTTTAACCAGTAGCAGTTTGATTGCCAATGACTCGAAGAATCTCTTTATGAATGTTTGGTTCCTGTGTATTTATACTTGTATCACCCACTTGACCATCTTCATAACTAAAAAAAAAAAGTACAGAAAATATTATCACATTAGTGTTTTATTAATCTACGTAAAAACATCAAAAAAATCTGATTCTCTGAGTGCTTATTCCGTATGTTCACATGTTTCTACTGAGGTGCTCTGCCGTGCTTCATCTTTATATGCAGATCCTAAACTCTGGAGAGTTTAGGAGGTGTTAAGGCTGCCATTGTCACTGAAACCCTGAGGCTGAATTAGCCACTAGGACCCAAAGGGGACAAGTATTAGATGAAAGGGGGAAATGCTCACAGCACAGACAGGAAGCCTTTAATGAATTCCTCAGCTTAAATACACACAGCCAAACAGAAATTGTGCTTCACAATACATGGGCAGATTTACTATAACATGAAGTAATGCCACTGAACAGGAAAAATAATGAACTTTCCATTCATTTGTATTAAAGACATTTACTAAACTTCTGACACTAGCTTATCCATACATTTCTAGCACAAGTAAGTACAGTAAAAGATAAAAGATGAAGGAATACTGAACAAAATTAGGAAGAAATGTCTTTTATCTACTTTAATTACAGCTATTGGAGAAAACATAAGAAAAAGGTCTAGTATGAAGTTGAATGTTAAGAAAAGCTTTGTACTCACACAAAGAAAAATCTTGTACACACGTGATCCGTGTTGGGAACTACCCATATCTCCCCATGTTTGTGCAGATCAGGTGAGGTTATCACTATCAGAGAAAGAACAAATTTCATAGTGATGAAAACATGCCTGGAAAACTGTTCTAAAAGATTTTGGGTTTTATATATAGTAAATGGCCTTTTGGGAATGTGTAGCTTTCCTCTACATGTCTGTGCTGCAGTGCAGATTTTGAGTTGGCTGCTAGTACAAGAAGGGAGATGAATTTGATTCTTGTTTCCAAAATATACTTTTCTGAAAAAATAGATGTTTGATGTATGGGACAAAGTTGTTAAATTGAATGAAAGTTTAAAAATACACTTATTAAAACCTGAATTTAAAAAGCCATAGGGCTGTTAAAGATGGTCTGAGACATCTAACCAGCACTTGGAACAAATATTTGTGTTTAGTGATGGTTGATCTGAAACCAAGATACTTAAGACAAAGCCTGAAACTACTATACATGAGATGTGCAATACTACCAAATATTTAAAACAAAGCAATTATGACTCAAGAGGTTCAAAAAAGCTTGCCAAAGCTTGCTCTACGTATTTGACGAGGGGTTGTTTACCAGCAAAATGAGGACAGCACAGGAGAGAAAGCTTTCCATTGCTAACTAGAAGCTATTACCGTCAATCTACCTTTGAAGATATCTAAATGCATTTGAAGAGCATCCTTCTCAACAAGTTGTTGAGCTGTGTGATGAGCAGGTTCATTGAGTGGTGGGTGAAAAACTGGCTGAGGGACTGAGCCCAAAGGGTTGTAGTGAGTGGGGCAACCTCTGGTTGGTGACTGGTCACACCAGTGGTGTTCCTCAGGGCTCCATTCCAGGGCCAGTTCTGTATCAGTGCTGGAGGTGAGTGCACCAGTAGCAGGTTTTGCTGATGATCCAGACTGGGAGGTGCTGTGGATAATTTTGAGGTACAAGAGGCCTTGCAGAGGGATCTAGATAGATTGGAGCACTGAGCAATCTTAAATGGGGTGAAATTTGTCAAGTCCAAATGGTGGATTGTACACCTGGGAAGGAGTGACACCGGGCACAGGGGTGAAGTAGGAGAGGGGTGGCTCAGGGTCGGTCAGCAGTGCCCGGGCAGCCCTGAGGACAAAACCCATCCCAGAGCACCGAGCAGGGCACAGCCAAAGCCCATCCCAGAGCACGGAGCAGGGCACAGCCAAAGCCCATCCCAGAGCACCGAGCAGGGCACAGCCAAAGCCCATCCCAGAGCACCGAGCAGGGCACAGCCAAAGCCCATCCCAGAGCACGGAGCAGGGCACAGCCAAAGCCCATCCCAGAGCACCGAGCAGGGCACAGCCAAAGCCCATCCCAGAGCACGGAGCAGGGCACAGCCAAAGCCCATCCCAGAGCACGGAGCAGGGCACAGCCAAAGCCCATCCCAGAGCACGGAGCAGGGCACAGCCAAAGCCCATCCCAGAGCATGGAGCAGGGCACAGCCAAAGCCCATCCCAGAGCACCGAGCAGGGCACAGCCAAAGCCCATGCCAGAGCACAGAGCAGGGCACAGCCAAAGCCCATCCCAGAGCACGGAGCAGGGCACAGCCAAAGCCCATCCCAGAGCACGGAGCAGGGCACAGCCAAAGCCCATCCCAGAGCACGGAGCAGGGCACAGCCAAAGCCCGTCCCAGAGCACGGAGCAGGGCACAGCCAAAGCCCATCCCAGAGCACGGAGCAGGGCACAGCCAAAGCCCGTCCCAGAGCACAGAGCAGGGCACAGCCAAAGCCCCTCCCAGAGCACCGAGCAGGGCACACTGGCCCAGGGAGGGGATGGGCCTGCTGGGCTCAGCCTGGGGGCAGCCTCGCCTGGGGCCTGCTGGGCCCTGCAGGTGGAGAAGGATGGGAAGGTCCTTCAGTGCTTCCTGAGGAGGGAAACAGCTGGTGGGAGGGCTGGAGAACATGTCCTGGACAGTAATGGAGGGGTTTGGCTTGTCTGGTTCAGAGAAAAGGAGGCTGAGGGGTGACCTCACCACTGTGCATCCTCCTGAGGAGGGCAAGGGCACAGTGTGGGAATGATTCAAAGCTGTGCTGGAGGAGGTTTAGACTGGACATTTCAAAGCATTTCTTAATTGAGAGGGTGGCATGCTAGGTTGGACTGGGGTAGAATTAATTTTCTTCCCAGTGACTGGCAGGGGGCAGTTTTTGGATTTGTGCTGAACACAGCATTGATAGTATAGACATGTTTTTGTTATTGCTGAACAGGGCTCAGACAGAGCCAGCCAGCCTTTTCTGATTCTCATACTGCCACACTCCAGGAAAGCTGGGGATTAATGGGAGGTTGGAAGGTGACACAGCTGGGACAGGTGACCCAAACTGACCAAAGGGATATTCCAGACCATGTGACATCATGCTCAGCATTCAAAGTGAGGGAAAGAAGGAGGAAAGGGGAGAGATGGTGTTGGTCTTCCCAAGTAACCTCTACACGTGATGGGGCCTGGAGATGGCTGAACAGCTCTGTTGGAAGCAGTGAATTAATTTCTTGTTTGGCTTTGCTTGCATGCAGGGCTTTTGCTTTCCCTATTAACACGTCTTTATCTCAACCCATGAGCTTTTGGGCTTCTACCCTTTGGACTCTCCCCAGCCCTGCTGGGGGAAAGTGAGTGGCTGTGGATGCTGGCTGGGGTTGAACCATAATAGCTGGTCAAACACTGCCTTCCTACAGGGTGGTTGGTGTGCCCAACCTGTCAGTGTTTAAGAGGCATTTAAACAATGCTCTTAATGATATGCCTTAAAGTTTGGGCAGCCCTGAATTGGTCAGGATTGGACTTGGGTGACAGTCGTGAGGCACTGAAATATTTTTTATTTTATTCTAACACTAACGTAACTGCATGCATATTCAATTTTTATACTATTTCTTTCATGAATTGCAATTTTTAACAAACATTTCTTGCAATTAATTTTACATAGAATCTTTATTAATCATCTTCCCTAAACCACCTTCTTACACAGTGAAATGAATATGAAAGCTGCAAAATGTATTTTACCAAATATTTGAAATTGACTCTTATAAAATTGGTAATCCACTAATAAATGAAAGGAAAGAAAAACATGGATGAAAAAGTCCTTGTGAAAGATGTAATTTACATTTAAAAATTAAGGCATAAAAGGCCAAGTATTTAATATTGTTCCATATGTAAGTTTTAGAACTAAAATTCTGTATTTTCTCTACAGATCAAGTTGCATTTTCATGTTGACTGACACATCCTTACATCTATACAGCTGAAAGATTCTATTTTTAAATACTACATTTTCCACATTCTTAGTTTTTACTTTTTAAAACAATCAAATGCTCCAAATGATAGGCAAATTAGGTTAATGTAATTTCTAAGACTAGCTCCTAACTAAGGTACACTTCTTATTCAAATGTCACAATTTGTTCTTAAAACCTGCTGAGGTTTCACTAGTTATTAACAGAATAGCCAATTCTTTCAAGAATGACTGTACTCAAGCATTAGATTTTAACTTCCCAAAATTTCTGAAGCAAAGAAAGAGCACATACTGGTTGCCAAATGATCAGTATGCTTGTTTGAACAATGAAAAATTGTTTGGAAATTCTATATTAAAGGTGTTTTTTCCTGACTTTCATGTGTTTAAAGCATTTGTCAAGAGCTTGCAAGAAGTCAGTGCTTCAAATAAAGGACATGACTTTGGTTTTCTTGATGGTTTAGGAAGAGGATCACATTTGAAACACAGACCAGATGATCAGTCACTATATGTATATGACATTCCATGACAACTCAGCATCTGCTACAGGTTGTGTTCAAAGAGAGGAAATGTTCTTACTGGAGCATAAAGGTCAGCTGTTGGGCAGGTACTCCTACACCTACCAGTAGTTTCTTACCTAAACAACCAACTAAAGCTCCCACTGATTTGCAGCCTGTAACCTGTGCATCCTGTGGCCATGACTAAAGCAGCTTCACAAGGGCTTCCAAGCTTACCTTCACATAAGGCTATGCATTTTAAGTTACGGCTTTGCAAAAATTGTGACTGCTGTCCTTTCTTCTGGGACTGAGATGTAAAAAAGTGAGAAAATAGAATTAGCACAGTAAAACAAACAGAGACATAAAGCAACAAAGGAGACAGCTGCTATTTTCAGCGATTTATTAATGAAAAAAGGTAGAGGCAGTCTTTCTAAAATATCTCTATTTTATCTCTAAATGTAATAGAATTTATAAAAAAACACCCTATTACTTATTTGCATTATTGTAGGAGATATTTGAACTCCTTTATCCAGAAAAATAATATCCAAAAGTGCCTAATTATTGCAAAATTAAAAATATTATCAGAAATATCAGTGTTACTGAAAAACAAATTAATATCACGAAAAAAAAAAAAAGAAAAGAAAGGTAAATAGTCACTAATTCTTTGGTCATTACCCTGATATTTTATTTTCCTTCCTACTTCTGAGAGCTTCTACTGGGACATGCCAAACTACCTTTAAAGCCAGATTATTCTGTAATTTCTATGTGCTAATCATGGAGACAGATATAAGATAGTTCCTTGAAATTTAGCCCTGTGCACAGATGCTGTGAGTTTGCTTTAGATACAGCAGAATTGTAATGGTTCAACATGTAAAATTTGTGAAAAAGAAAAAATTGCTTGCTATAAATTAAATGCTGCTCATTTCCCAGCAATAACCATTCTCAATTTCTTTTGCATCATTGTTCTGGAAGTCTAAAACTCAGAAGGCAAGGGGTTGCTAGGGGCCACAATGCAGCCTGTATTTCATCTTCATTCTCTTCCTAAATTCTTCTGCTTGGAAAAGAACGGCACAAAGTCTGCAATATGCTCTGTAAATTTTTACAGGAGCAGTTGAACTGTATTTGATATTTGCAGTCTCTGAAGTTGTTGATTTCATTCAATGCAATAACACTGGTAAGTTGCACAAAGGAAATATTACCTCTCTTTCAGCTACTAAGTTCCCAATAATAAATCCCACTATTCTTCCAGAGACAGTTGATGTACCATACCTGTGATGTATTACTGCCCTTGCTGCCTGAAGCTGGTTCATCTTTAGCTGACACCTTCTGCTGCTTCTTGTTCATCCCTAGGGATATTAAAATCATGTAAGATACCCTGGCCTATAAATACCATAAAAAGCAGAGTTCAGTATGAGAATGGAAGAGGTAGAACAGTGAGAATCACAGTCTGTCTTTTGCATAGCACTCAAAAAGCTGGTTAACACTGTCACAGAATATCACAATATAAATCCTGTAAATTACAGGTACCTCTGCATGTATTGCAAAGACTTTAGCAAAGTCAAGTTAGCATTAAGTAGGTGCAAAAGCAGATAAACCTGAGCTTAAATGCTACTGAATTCAGATCAGGAATATTCTTATGTGGTGACTTAATGGGGTTGTAGGTCAGCACGTCCTCATTCCACTTGACCCTATTCAGGCTGAAATAAAAATCTGATTACTGTGGGTGGGAAGGCAAAAATCATGAGAGAAAGAACTTTAGATATACTTCTTTAGCACTTGATGGAATTTGATTAAAAGTCTAATTAATTTGTATGAGTAGACAATTTAAGTTTTGAAATCTACCTTGGTTTGATCTCCTTATCTACACACAAAATATTAAATTATTAGTCAGTAACATTTGATCCAATTCCATCTCAGGAACTGAAACATCTACATTTGTGCCTCAGATTTCATTCATATCTCTCATGTTGGTTTATGTAAAATTCCTGTTTTGCATGATACTAGGGGCTTCCCTGAGTTTCCAGGACCCTGTATTTCACAGAATCATGGAATATTGTGGGTTGGGAAGGGTCCTGAAAGATCATCTTGTTCCAACCCCTCTGCCATGGGTAAGGACACCCATCTTCTGTTAGACCTGAGCCCCGTCTAACCTGACCTTGAACACTTCCATTATTTGGCACTTTGCAAATATGACTGAATTATGGCAAAGCTTAACTCTTTGAAGGAATGTGTAGGACTCCTTCATCAATGTGAATGTGCAGGACTCCTTCATGGTTTTTATTGGCATCAAGGATTACACACTTCAGTGGAACACAAGCCTCCTTTCTGGAGGAGACAGGATGGAAGAGGCCAAGACAGGCAGAGAGAGGAGCAATAGCACATTGAAGTTGACAAAGCAGTATTGTCCAAAAGGAAAGACACTTTGTTAGATAAGGATACTGCAACCAGCATATTCAGTAAGACCTAAGAAGCCTTCATACTCATGTAATCTCTGACAAGCTAAAAGTGCATCTAGAGATAACTGATGTTGAAGTTCCTCAAATAGTAGCTCAAAAAGCTGAGCTCCTAAAACATGACCTAGAAACACTGAGTATCAGAAAGCAAACCAAAACTCTCAGAATCATATACATGCACATGAACACACATTAAACTATATACCTGCACTTTCATATGTGAGGAAATGGTAAATACTACACACCTAAAGAAGAAAGTCACCATATTTTAAAATCCCTTTAAATTCTCAATACGTATCCACTCAATACGTATCCACTGTCTTGTTTTTAATATGCTTTTGTTTATTATTTCCTTCTTACATGGAAAACTCTGCGCAACTCACTTTAGTATTCAATAGTGGAACAAATTATGTTCCTTCTCAGGCTAAAATAAACACATTGAACTGTACTTTCTAATGTAATCTTGACATGGTGATACTTGGGAATACTCTTAAATATACAGTTTTGAACATGTCTATTGATCAATACTTGTTTTGTCAGATGAAGTCATAAAAGACCATGAACTCATGGGTAAAGTTAGATGGAACTTAGGCAGGTATTGACAAAAATCACAAAGTTGGATTTCAGCAGAATCATCAAGACCTACTAAATATAGCATTCAGTATTAGCAAATATTTACTTCAAGCACAGCTTAAGAATTCTAAGCATATTGAAAAATAAGGACAGTGTTTAACAAGGTAATTTTCTATTTTCTTATTATTTATTAAAAAAAAAATTCTCTTTTGGAATAAATTTAATCATGGTCAACGAAAATTAAATTGAATATAATGTTTTAAACAGTGAAGCTATAAGAAGAAACAGCAGAATAAGATACACCCTTATATTTGTCCAACCTTAGAGTGATCTATAAATATCACCTGAGTAACCAAATGATATGCTTGACAATGGACTAAGGTAGATTCCACTTCCAAACATTGCACCATGGAGCTGAAAAAGAGCAGAGTGATTACTTAGCATTAATTTGGTTACCTGGACAAAATAATAATAATTACAGGAACAGGTCATAGCATGCTTACCCACCCTACTAATTTATTTCAGGTAATTAACAGTGTTCAAAGAAGTGTTTTTAAAAATCATGCCCTGAGTATAAAATTATTTTATATATATATATATATATATCCTGGAAATTATGTCCAAACAAAAAACCAGATGCCCACACAAAATTTTATGTAAGACTTATACATAAGATTGTGGTTTCTGTTTCTAAATCTAATATTACTATGGAGGATGACTACAAAGAGTGTTTCTGTACTTGACCAAATATGCCCTGGGATCCTCTTCCAAGGTACATGGACTCAGCTCTGGGGAGAGCTGATAACCACAATGCTAAAGAACTCTGCATTAGAGCTCCCCAGTCCCTCTGTAGTGCCTGATTTGCTCTGCAATAGTGGCGTCCTGATGATTCGTCTGAGAAGTTTGCATTAGATCCCTTATGGCCAGCACACTTCATGCTTCCATTGCCAAAGAAATCAGAGGCAGACAAAGTGCTGCAAGCCTAGTTCCTGTAACTCTAGCATGTTTCATGATCCTAAGACACCGAGACAGTTTAGGCAGCTCTGACTTTCACTTGCGACTGCTTTAAAGCAGTACCGAGCGAAGCCTCCTAGAGGTGCTGCTCTGCAACATAAAACTGAAACACTGATTCCCACAAAGAGATTTTCTAGACGTTTTAGCAGAACATTACTTCATCTTAATTGCATCAGAAAAGTACTTTTCACAGGAAACAAGATGGTATTTGAAATTATCCCTTCTTCTAGCTATATATGGCTACCAGAATGAAACCCCCTGAAAACTTGTCAAAGCTAGTATGTAACCAAGTATGCACAGGTTAGCTAAAATCTATTTTGTTTATTTACCTGCAGCCTCGTATTGGAAGCAACAACTAAGCCGTTCCTCAGGATGGAATGCCAATTTTCAATGTGTGAACCACTAAATAAAATTAAAAAGAAAGCCATAAAATTCACAGTGTAAAATGCAAAAATTACATTAGAAATCCTTTAAGACAGTAGATTCACAGCTGCAAACCTCAAATGCCAGAAGTAAAAAATATAGGATGGCATTTCAATAACCTTTGGTTATTAGGATTGTATGTACTCACTGAAATGCAAAGGTACTTCCGTATAGATTTTTAGCAGCTCGGAAATTGGATTCTTTGGCTGGTGGACTGCTGAGAAGAAGGAACTGGTGGGGAGTGTGCATAAACTTCAGTTGCTGTCAAATATAAGAGTGCACATGTGAAGAGAAGTTGATTAATATGAAAGTATTGTAATTCTCTGATGGTAATCCTTAAGATATCATGCTTTTCCACACCATACATGACTGCATCTAAATAACTACATGAACTAAGTTGAAATTGGTCTCACTTCCACAGTTTCAAGCTGAAATCAAACAGTAAGAATGACTTACAGTTTATGAAACATATGGAAGTTTTTGGAAAATCTAAAATGGCTTTAGTAATTAAACTGAACAATTTCATCATAGTATTCTATCAGAGCTGACTTTGAATTAAGGTTATTTGGAAGGCTGCGTATTACTGCGCCCTTAATCAGAAGTTACTTATATGTGGATCTCCTGATACAGAATGTTTGTGTGCACTGCTTTCTGTACAATTCTGCATCTAATATTCTATATGGTAAAAAACCAAAAAGTGATGTTTTTCTCATCTAATTCCAGATGATTACAAGATAGACACCTGAATTTGAGCTACTCACCTCAAATAGGTTTTTTTATGAACATTATTCCCTCGACCTGTTTCAGATATTCACATGTTTCTAAAAATCAGGACCTAAAACTGCCTTGTCTATTAAAGGAGTCCATGCAATCAGTTTGAATGCATACACCTGCGTTTTGCTAGTAAACTCCCACCTAAAATGCTAATGCATAAAAAAGATCAGAAAATAACAAGAAAACCCACAGACACTTACTCTATTCACTGGTAGCTTCACAATATGCGATCTATTACTAGATATAACCCTAAAATAAGAAACAGATGTATTAGATGTAGTAACCAAACCAAACTTAAAAATATGTTATGAATGGCCATCACAAAGCACCCAGCTGCAGGCCTCTAAACCTACCAGATGGAAGTAGGCCAAAAATTAACTAGAAAATTAGATCAGATGACCCAGATGAGGTCCAGAAACAGTTCAGAATAGCTGCAGTTGAGAATACCAACGTTAATTATTAGGCTGACCTTATACCACATTACATTGGTCAAGTGATTATTCATTACAAATGATAATTTAATAATTATTATCTCATTTGAATCAACTTTATACCATTGTAGAAGAGGATGTGCAAGCGGGTCTTGTTTATCCATCTGCTTCTTTATTTCCAAGTAAGGTGCCTATAAAAGAGTAATTATGTTATTTCTAGGTTGAATTTTATATGTTACATTGCCTGTGATTTCATCTATTTAAATGAATACATTATTAGGTTGAAATCACAGCTTTACTGATATACAGCATAGTAGAGTTATAAATGTGTTTTGACAACAAGAATTAATATAGCGATTATTTTCCCTAGAGTAAGATAATAAGCATATAATTAGCATCAAAATGACTATATTATAGCAAACACTGGTGATCACAGGGAGAAAAGAAGAAGACATCTATTTTTGTGTGGCTCTTGATTAAGAAATTGGGACATTACAAAATTAAGGTTCTCAAAGCAACCCAAAATAATCCATTTGGTATTTTCAACTGTTTCAAGGTATAAGCACCATGTCATATTATAATTTCTTTTAAAACTGTTCTTGATTTCAATCACAATGCAAAGCATCCCCTTAAAATTCATTAGTCAAGAACTGTTTTAACATTTAAAAAAAGCAGAATGGTAATTATTTTTTATTTTTAAAAGACATCATAAGAAATCACAGAAATGCCTGATTTTTAAAATTTTTCAAAATGTTACACAAATTAACAAAAAAAAGTGAATTTTAATTTTCAATTTATTTTATTCCTCTCTATACATTATTCACTCAAGAATCCCAAAGTATTTTGTTAATACAAAGAGCAAGATTGAAAACTGTTCTGAGGATGCATTTATATAGCAGTTGGAAAAGCAAGATATATGGAATAGATTTAAACAACAACATATAATCAGCTGGGTTGTTTGGGAAAGGAACATAAAAATAAAAAGATATAAAGGACCATAAAAATAACAGAAATACAACCATCAGATATGCCATGAGAAATAATATGACAGTAAATCCAAGTCCCCAGCTATACTTAGTTAATCGAGAATTTTGCTATAATAGAAATAAATATCATGTCATTCAGAATACCATTCAGAACATTTGACACAAGATCAATTTCTTTTGCTTTGGAAGTAAAGTCTCTGGCTCTGACATTTCCAGAAAGGTAGCAGTTGGTGATTACCTCATTACAATGTCTCATTCTGTTGTTATGATCTCTTATTTAAACTTCAAAAGATCTGAGTTTTACTTCATTACTTTTATTTAATTGGCATTAGGGATAGGTTTGTTATTTTGAGCAAACATTTCAATATCATTACAGTTATATAGGAAAGAGATGATACTATTGACTTCCCAACCCATCATAGGCAGGCAATGCAAACATCTTTCCAGTTCTAGAAACAGTGATTAATTAGGTAAATATTTTTACATTTACCTGTGTCATCTCTCTGATGGAAGTGATACTGTCCAATGCCTTCATGACTCGGTCATAGTTCTTCTTCTAATGTGGCATAAAATACACAAGTAAGTTCAAAGAGTATTAGTTTTTGGCTCTAAAAAACCTGAATTCTTTGAGTGTGTATAAAACGAAAGCTAGGAGAAATGCTGGGCAAATCAATTCTTTCAAACATTTCAAACCTTTCTTCCACAGACTGTCCTTCATCATCCAGAAAAAATCCTTGAAAAAATATTGTTATGATCTTTCTTCTTTGAATTTGACGGGGATCTCCAAAACACTCAAAAAATCAGATTATTTTTCAACAAATACTTGTAACTAAATGTAACTAAATTATTTGGACAACATGCTCTTGAGGTAAATAATGCAGTGACCCAAACAGATTTAAAAAAAATGCATGTAAACAGATACGTTTCCTTGGCTAGCAGGCCTATAAAACTTCATAGATCCTTCAGTGGTCCCTCTGCCTCACCCTGATCTTTGCTGACCTGCTGCTTGGGAGCCACTACCAGGCAGCTCCACCTGAGTGAACAGGCTAAACAGTCCATGCTCCACCACTCCACAGCAGCTCCACTGCTCCCCATATTCAGGTCTTGCCAACACATTATAGAACACCTCAGCCTCTCCTGACAAAGAACTCCTGCTAGCTGGCCTTTGTTCAGAAAGAGTGAGATGCATCCCAGTGCAGGACATGCCGAGTTCTCCTCTATGCCTTTTGGGAGATGCCTTTAGGGAGATGGAATATTCACAGCCTGAGGGCATTCCTGAAAGGCAGCATTTGGAGCCCAAGGAGCACGTAACACAAGCACAATTCTCTTTATTTCAAAATTGATGCTTGTACAAAACTCACCTATTAACATCTCATAAAATTACATACAAGAAAATAACTGCTTGCAGTGAGAAAATGAGATGACAGCAATGACACTTCTGAGAATGAAAAGATGGACTGGAAATCCCCTGGCTTACACGACCTCTATCTCTCAAAAGCCATCTTTCTTTTTGTGTCCAATGTGCACATTGATAGAAAAATACTTGGAATATAAAATTTTGCATCCAGAATTTGTTCCTTAGAAGAGTTTCTTGGCTTTAACATAACCTACACTTTTATCATGGTTTAGGGATGGTATTCTCCAATTTACTGTTCCCATTAAGACCTGGCACTGCTCACTGTCCTCTTCCCTCTCCTCCTTACACTTCCCCCCTGCTGTGGGATAGAGAATTGGGAGCCACAAAGGTAAAGATCATGGGTCAAGATAAGAACAATCAGCTGGAAACAGCAAAGAGATAAGAAAACCAGCCACAAACATCCAACTGCTCCCTCTGCCAAGTAAAATGTGAACTCTTTTCCCTCTTTTCCCTGGAAGAGACTCCCCTCCCCCTGCTCCCAGAAATGATGTGAGGTGGTATAGAATAACCTCTGGGTCTTAGCCATATCCCATTCTGGCTACTGCAGAAATTAACACTGTCCTGGCCAGAACCAGAACAAGAATATATTCAAGTACTTTCTCAGAGACAATAAATAAAAGATGCAAAGTTTTGAAAACACACTTTTGCTATATTCTGGAGCTGTATCACATAATAAAGGAGACTCCTCCATGAGAAAACTTTGCTTTGAAATCTCATGTATGACTAAAACCAAGTGATGACATAATTAAAGGTAGCTACTCACCCTGGGGTTAAAGGCCAGCATCTGAGGATCATTAGGATCAACTACAGAAGGATATGGCTCAAAAATGACAACTTTCCTAGGTGATTCTAATGCAGACCGACACATAGATACTAACAGATCAACTACCTGAGGATAAAGAAAGACATATTTATTATGTTTATTCAAAATAAAGATTTTTATAGTATATCTTCCAGTCTGCCTTTTTTTTTTTTTTACACATTATAGATACATTGTATTTCATTGTTACCTATATTGCCCAAACTGTGTTATCCAGAGGAGATAGTTCAGGACTAAATTTTTTCACTGACCTCAGCAGAGTTTGGGGTCAGCCATGGAGTATTATTCCATGTGCATATACATAGGACCAGTATCTGGTCCTAAAAGTATTATAACATCAAATATATTGCTTGAAGTGTTGCTTTCTCTTGTGCATACATGTGAATTCCTGTATCAAATTTATTCATTAAGGAAATGAAACTCGTGTATCTCTGTATAGACACGCCAGTAAACACTTTGTTCAAGAACAAGGAATAGTCTGTCAAATTTGTACCACTTTCTGCTCTTTTCTTGAAGACTGTAATCACAGAAACACTTGAAAACATTGCTTCTGCTAAACCCATAATACTGCAATGATTTAACAGTCATCTGCACAGTTCACGCTGGGGCATTCTCTTCTTTCCATCCTGTTATACTAATTACAACACTTCTTTGGTTATCTTTGATTTTCACAATTTCCCCACAGGATTGTGCATGTAATGTGCACATAGACGTGTGTACAAAAGTAAATACACCACTCAGACACAGATTCCCAAGTAATTGTGTCAAAATACGTAATTCAGAGGTTAAAAATAGAATTCAGCAATAACAAAAATGAGAGAATGCAGCTTTCTGGCAGCTGTGAAATGTAAATTCAGCTCATAATGAAATCCAAAATTGCTACATTAAAAAGTAGCTGCAGATTAACTCATTTCCTCATGTTTTTTCTGTGCCTTCTGAAAACATTCCTGTGTGAAAATGACTTTTCCACAAAAGAAAGGAAAAGCTGAGACAAGCAGGAGTTAATAGGTACTCCTGGTTCCCCCCACAAGTCCACGTGGTACAGATCTCATCTCACAGCTCATACTCTTCTACAAGATTCTCTACGTCTGTCATTGTATCTGATGATTTGGATGGGAAAAAATTACAGTCCTTTAGAGAACCAGAATGAAAATAAGAATAATGATGAAAGGGGAAAAAGAACTGTGCTGTGGTGAGTCATATAGCTGCCATTCTCCTTCTCTGCTCCTTCAGTATTAATGGACAATTTTCTCCATCAGTTTTAATATATTCTGTTAGTTCCAGTTACTAAATATCTCACATATATTGAAAAATGAAATTACTTAAATAATGATCCCTTCCCCAATGGTTCTCTGATTACTTTCCAGTTAATACTACCTGTATGTGAGATGAATGTTTTGAAATAGGGCATATGCACTAGCATTTACAAAGGAGATCAGCAGCCAGATCAGGCAGCAGACCTGCCCCTGTGTAAATGTATTACTGTGAAATTGAGCATGAGTTCACCCTGCTTCTGAGAAGCACTTCTTAGTCTGCTGTCACAAAACACTTCTAGGGAAGAGCTGTTTGAGTCTCCAGATCTTTAAATGCAGAGACTCAAAGTTGTCTTGCCTTATGATTTGCATGATGGGACACTGTCTTAAAACTGGCACAGTTCTACTCAGACACCATCCCTAAGCCCTCCTTTAAACAAACTGTTGACTCCTAGATTGTTTCCAACTTTGCTTTTTTTTTTACACCTGATTTCCCCTGAGGTCATTGTTTTGAGTTGATGTAATGCAAAAGAACTTAAACTGGGAGGTAATCTAATAGAAACCCTATAATAGAGCCTTGCATATACATTCCTTGGGAATAGGAAGTGCTGTGGATCTAGCAGATGTCCTTAAAACTGGGCATTAACTCCTCAATCGGAGGTACTGAAGTAAATAAGGATTAAAATAGCTGTGTGAAGGACAGGACAACACTTGCTGATGACAATTCCTCTTATGACATCAATCCCTCAGACAGGGCCTCTCACTCTCAAGAGACTCTTTACAGGGAGTAGGAACTATCAAGAAATCAGTCATCTAATTTTCAAGCATTTTGCCTACATGACTAACACAAGGCAACCTGAGTTCAGGATGGAAAGTTTTAGAAAGTACAAGCACTTATTATTAAGGAGAAGCTATTGGATTATTTAGAGTGACAAAGTAGGGTTGTGCACCTCAGGAAATGAGCTGAAAGCACAAAAGACAAAATGGGATATGATTTCTAATTATGGGAACCTGTATTTAGGTTTCCTCACTAGACAAAATGGTTTGGAGGAGGATAAATCAGACAAAATGTGAACACCTACCTTTTACTAGTCAGCCTAAGCTTGCTAGACTCTTGGAGAAATAACCTCTGTGCTGACAGCCTAAGCTATGATTCATACTGTCCTAAACTAATGGCAAAAAGAGCTCAGATGGATCACACTCTAGAACTGATGATTTTTTTCTGCAAACAGGAACGGGGGCTCAGTCAGATCCGATATAGTGAGCTGGCTGCAATGCTATCATTAGAAACTTAGCATAATTTAGCTACATAGGTCCAATGGGACAACAGGCAAAACCCCTTATCTAACTCTTTTAAGCACTCTTAAGGTTGTAATCACTTCAGAATCCTACAGTAAATCTCTGTAAATGTAGAGGTACTCCAGAGATCTACAGCTCTGCACGTGCCTGCAACACTGATACTTATATCAAACAGAGTGAGAGCTAGCCAGGGACACCTCTCCTCTGCTTAGTCAGCTCAACTTAAAAAAGCTCATACCTAATTCTTTACTCATTTTAGGAAAGCAACCTTCCAGCTGTTCAAAGAGTTTTTCAATAGGATCCCTTGGAAAACTGTTTTCAAGGAGGAGGGAGCAGATCAGAGCTGGCAGATCTTTAAGAATGCCTTCTATAGAGTACAGGAGCTCTCAATCCCCACGTGTAGGAAATTGGGAAAGGAAGACAAGATGTCAGCATGGATGAGTCCAGACCTGATGGTAAGACTAAAAGGAAAGAAGAAAATACACAGGCAAGGGATGCAGGGTTAGGAGGAATATAGGGACATAGCCAGTTTGTGTCAGGATGAGGTGAGGGAGGCCAAGGTGCAACTGGAGATCAACTTGACAAGAGATACAAAGAGTAACGAAGAGGCTTCTGAAGGCGTATGAGACAGAAAAGGAAGGTCAAAGAAAGTGCACCCCTCTTTGAACATGACTGGGAAAATGGTAACTGCAGACAATGAGAAGGCCAAGGAACTTGACAGCTCTTTGCTTGTCTTCATTGGCTGTCTCCCCTTCATACGCCTCTTGAGTTAATGAAACTCAAGACAGAAAGTAGGGAAGGAAAGTGCTTCCCACTGTCAGCAAAGATTACATTTGAGAGTTCCTGAGGCATGTGAACATAGAAAGGTCTATGGGACCTGGTAAGATGCATCCCAGAATCCTGAGGAACTGGCTGATAAAGTTGCCAAGCTACTCTCCATGCTAACTCAAAAGGCACGGCAGTCAGGTGAAGTCAAAGGTGACTGAAAAAAGGGAAATATTGCACCTATTTTTAAAAAGGGTAGAAAAGAGGGCCCTAGAAACTACCAACCTGTCAGCCTCACCTCTGTGCCTGGGAAGATCATAGAACAGCTTCTCCTGGAGCTGTGCTAAGGCACATGGAGGACAGGGAGGAGATTCATGACAGCCAGGACAGCTTCACTGAGGGCAAGTCCTGCCTGACCAACCCAATGGCCTTCTGTGATGGAATGACCACATCAGTGGACAAGGGAAAGGCTACAGATGTCATTTATATTCTTTAAAACAGCTTCTCCCAATATCCTTATCTCTAAATTGGAGAGAGATCAATTAGATGGATGGACAGTTCTGTGGATAAGGAACTGGTTGCCTAGCTGCATCCAGATGGTAGAGGTCAATGTCCTTATGGCCACTGATGATGACTGGTGTCCCCCAGGGAGCAATACGGGGACCAGTGCTATTTAGTGACATAGAGAGTGAGTTTCAAATGCTCTCTCCACAATTTGCACATTAAACAAGCTGTGTGGTGCAGCTGATGTACCTGAAGGATGGGAAACTATCCAGAGGGACCTGTACAAGCTGGAGAAATGGGCCCATGGGAATCTTGCCAAGTTCAACAAATCCAAGGGCAAGGTGCTGCACCTGGGTCATGATAACCCCTGCTGTCAGCACAGGCTGGGCATGAACAGCCCCAGAGCAGCCCTGCCCAGAAGGGCTTGGGGGTGCTGTGGGTGAGAGGCTGCACATGGCCCAGCCATGGCACTCACAGCCCAGAGAGCCAAACGTGTCCTGGGCTGCATCCAGAGCCCCGTGGGCAGCAGGGCAGGGAGGGGATTCTGCCCCTCTGCCCTCATGAGAATCCACCTGAGCACTGTGTCCCCAACATAAGAAAGAGCTCCAACATCTGTTGGAGCAAGTCCGGAGGAGGGCCACAAAAATGATCAGAAGACTGGAATGCCCTCCTGATGAAGACAGGCTGAAACAGCTGGAGGTGTTCAGCCCGTAGACGAGAAGGCTTTTGGGAAGCCTTACTGCAGCCTTTCAGTACTTAAAGTGGGATGACAAGATAGGGAATATGTTTTAGCAGAATCCGCTGTGATAGGATCAGAGGTAAAGGTTTTATACTAAAGGAGGGAGATACAGACTAGATATAAAGAAGACTTTACACTGCGGATGATGAAACACTGACGAAACACTGATGAAACACATGGTAGATGCCCCATCCTTGAAAACATTCAAGGTCAAGTCAGACAGGGCTCTGATCTAGTTGAAGTTGTCCTGGCTTATGGCAGGGCACAGGACCACATGACATTCACAGCTCCCTTACAACTCCAATTATTCTATGATTCTATGAGTCTAAATGTGCAGTAATGTAACATGTGCCTGAATTAAAAAAATTAAATGCTCACAGGACTTCAGGCTGAGGAAGAGGTGGGGCTTCATCTGCACACCTCCTTCCATTTCTTACAAGCCTGAACTGTTATCCCAATATTCAGTATCTAGCTATTACAAATCCAGTGGTCTTCAGACATCAGATGAAGAGCTGCTGTTCTGATTCCAGTCATATTTTCAGTGAGGAAGCTGATCTACACTGCACAACTTTCTACCTTTGAGGATATGCTCATGGTTGTATTCAGGTATCTACCTGAATAGTTTATTTCCAGTGACTATACTCACTAGTGCTAGTTAAAGTTAAATAAACTGAAGGTTTGCCCTTCCAAAAAACCCGTGCTACTTACTATGTAGAAACACAGTAAACCAGAAAAATGGACACAAATGCACTTTTCCTTAAGATGTGCAGGCTTTTACCATGAGATCTTAAAGGGAACTTAAACGTAAGATCTTTTAACTTTTGTTTTTAATGAAACATTAGGTTAGTGATTTGGAAGCGTAATTTAAAATACTTTAAGAAAACAATGATAGGGTTGTAACTACATCAATAACTGAATTTAGAGTTAGGAAGCAGGTTTATATTAAATTCCTGATCCTTGAGAAGAAGAAAGAACCCTATGTAGCAATATCAGTAAGGACTTTCCCACTGCTATGTAATGATGGAAACAACAGATGCTCAGTGGATCCCTGCAACCCAAGACCATGAACAGGAAGTAACTTATTAATTGCATGAGAGTAGTAATGGCTCATTAGGTGAAAATAAATGTGAATTATCTCCAAATTACAATGGCTGCCTTTATTAACAACCCAGGTGACCTAATTGAATACAACAGGGCACAAAACCACAGTTACTCTAATTACATGGAAGCAAAACAATGGAAACACCTCATTAGTACTATTTGAATACAGCGTGCATAAACCCAGTGCATTTACAACTATAACACTGGACAAATTGCATACAAGTCAAAACACATACTAGAAGAGACAGAGAGGACTGAGTTAACTACAGAAAACTTTAGATAATCCTACCTGTGCCCCAGTTGCAATTTCATCAGCAGCTTCGTTCATCACTCCTAATGTTTGGAAAGCAAATACACAGAGTTCCCGTTCACAAACAGTGGGCTATACAAAGAAAGAAAGTTAATTTTACTTCTGTTCTAATTTGAATTCTTGCTTTTAGCATGTCATGAGCTACAAGAAAACTCAAACACAATTAATTCTAATTCTTCATATTTTAACTGCAACATTAATTTTAAATAATAAATACATATCAATTATTGAGGAAGATACATTAGAGAAACATTTTAATAACCTGAAGAGCAAAAGTGAAGAATTCTAAAACTCCTAAGTACTCAGAGAGGCTAAATTTAAAAGAAATCCCAGCACTGTTACAAAACCAAAATTACAGGCATAGTACTCAAATGTTCTTAAGACTATCTATCTGAAAGCTTTCTATATAATTAAACTTAATGGAGAACAAATTCTGAAGCTAATAGGAGCAGGTTTATTCTTCAGAGCTTCTTACACTGCTGTTCAGAACATACATAAAAATCTGATCTGGAAAACAAATTTTTTGAAGAGGCTATTTTTAATTTTTGACAATTTAACAAATTATTGGTAGACTATAAATTTTTACAGCATAAAGACTATTTTGAAGCCTATTTATTTTAAGAAATAAAGATATTTCAAGTCTTTTTTCAGATATTAAATAATAAAAACCCCTTCTTGTTGAACCAGCTTTTGCCTGTTAAAAAGTAATTAATGATGTCATCACAAATAAAAAAACGTTATCTAAACCGCATATTGAGAATGGAACATTTTGCCTTCATAAGGCAAAGAAGAAACAAATAGAAACACAGCTTTAGGTAATGAAAACAGGCATGTCTTCATGGGCTTCCTCACTGTTTACAATCCTTACAGCAACTCCATATTATTTACTGAAAGATAATTAGCAGACCAACTTTATAAAGGCTCAAGTAACATCACACCATGAATTGTTGCAAGTATTCAAAATGAACAAAATACAAAATAGATGAAAGAAATATGAATTAAAACCTTCCTCAAAAATACCCAATAAACACAACCCATTATGACAATGCTGAAAACAATCAAAAATACTTCCTGGATACTATTTATTTGAATGCATAATATTAAATCCCAGCTCACTGAAACTTAAACTAATCTTTGTAACTGAAAGTTCTGAGTCTAGTGATCACAACAAGTACAAGAACATTTGTAGTACTATGCTTTGAAGTTCAAGCCACTGCCTCTACAAAGCACTTGCAGAAATGAAAAAATTAATTAAACACACAAAGAAAACCTAAAATTTAGCTGAATTCTGTTTCAGGCAACAGCTTTGCCAGTAATAAGCATACTGTTGTCCTTGGAGTCACTTGCTTTGCAGAACCTACAACATTCATTTGCTGTGTTTCAAAGATTCAATACCTCAATAAACATCTCAAATCTTCTGGACTCATACAGTCTCACTTCATTTGCTTTAAAAGAGCTATCATCTTTCAAATCTGATAATGTCACCCATTTGATTTAGTTTATCTGTCATGTTACATTGCATTAGGCAGCAGATGAAGCCAAACATGATCAAGTTCATTGTGCCATGGCAAGCTGGACAAGAGGTATCTATTGCTGTCATTATTCTTGGATTTTCCACATTTAGAAGATAGTTAAATCATTTGTTCAGTGGGGCAACTATCATAATCAACAGAATACACAGACTTCCTTTATTTCAAAGCAAGGAATAACTCTGGAATAGGTGAGCAATCTAAATTTGGCCATGCTGGTCACAAAGAAAACTTGTAAGAAGATATTTATTTTGGATGTTTTGTTTACAGTCTCAGCAAAGTAATTTATCCTGAAACTTAATGATGGTAAATTTGTACCATTTCTCTTTTTCCTGCCCCTTTGTTATGATCCCAGAAGTGTCTGAGCATCTGGAGAAGGAAGTTAGGAAAACAGACATTGCACTTATGCCTGACTTTGGAAAAATTTTTGGTGTCTTTTTGGTAGGTTTTTTTTTGTTGTTTTTTTTTTGGGGGGGGGGGCGGGTGGTGGTGGTTGGTTTTTTTTGTTTTTTGGGGGGGAGGGTGGTTGGTTTTTTTTGCCTCAGGCTGACACTGGACAATTTTAGCTATAATGACAAGAAAGACTGCAGAATTTCAGCCCTGAAGTGGAACAGATAGTTCTGTTAGGATCTATACAATTCTTCTCATTTTGACAAACCTTTCTGTCCACTACATGTTTTGTCAATACAATCAAATGGGGAAAATAATCCCAACCCTGCAGCTAAAGGGACATTTCAACAGTCTGTCTTCATTTATCTAGTCTGGAGGCCTTTTAGCCCACCCTACAGACATTTTAAAAGTACTTTTGAATTCTGTTTCTGGAATTGTCTTAATTTATCAAAATAAGATGTTTTTAACTTAAATTTCCCACAGGTGTTAGCAATGCATTCGAAGAGACATTGATATGGCCATTTCAGAGTCCTCTACTCCAGTCACTAGTTAAGCTCAATCATTTGTATTGTTTAAATCCCTACAAAATGAAAATACTAGCTTGCAATTAGGAAGCAAATGTTTCAGGCACTCTTGTTTGTCACACTCTGTGACTTACCTATTCAGTGTTACTTATTTCCTTACTTATGTTTTGCCTGCAATTGTGCATACTAGAACCAATGAAAACATATGAAAACTAAGTTAATAAATCAATTCTAGAGAGCAGAGTTTAAAGAAAACCACAAGCTTTATGGGGAAACTGGGATTCAAGGCTGTGCCTACTCTGCTGTCAAGGTTTTGCATATTGATAGTGTGTTTCCCTTTATATGGTGTCCACTCTTCTCTTGTTATGGGATGTGAGCCTTTGGGATGGGAACAGTATTGTTCTGACTTCAGATCATAAATATGAGAAATGCCCCTAGCCACACTAAACAAACGAGAACATCGCTGACACAATTATAAAAGCTAAGTTGTTCCAATGTCATCTTTGGATACTCTTACTTTGGTTCATTTAGATGTAACACTCAACAAGCTAGACTTTCTAAGAATTTTTGTGTCTGTACCTGAAATATTAAATGAATAAGATTTTACTGATGCGGAATTCACAGCCACACGTGTACAGATTAATCACCTTTTCTTGGATTACTATCTCCCATTGTTTTCAAGGGGAAAATACACAACAAAATAGAGCTTAGACACTTAAACATTTATTTCTGAATGAGTTTCATCCTAGGTGCACACAGTTCCACAGATTACAACAACCACCTTGAGGACACTAGCTGACTGTGTGGGGGACTTTTTTGCTCCCTGAAGAAGGCAACAGTAATTTCTCTCAGAAACAGCAGCTACCAGGGTCTCACACAGACTTTATTTTTTCTCTTGAAAATAGAAAATTAACATAAAGCCATTGGTCTTCACAGAACTATTAGCTAAGTGAAGATCACTAGGTGCTGAAACACCGTCATGAGGATCATTATTCCAGTTGGGAAAAAAACAGAAAGAAATAAGACGAGGGCAGTTAACCTGAGACTGCAAATGCTTGGAGGCAGAAGACAATGACAGAACCAGAGAGCATCTTCTGAATGCTTGAAGTTTTCAGATTTCTCCTTTAGCCACCCCCACTCTTTGCATGAGCAGTAGCTCCCACCCAGCTGCTGCTGTGGTGAAAGAAGCACAGAGTTCCCGTGTGTTACAATGCAACTGTGGTTTCTTTCTGCAGCGACTGAGACTGGCAGATACACAAACCACTTACACACTATGACATATCCTGGTTCCTGGACTAATACACTACCTAAAATGTTTTCTAGACATTCTTTCAATTTGAAAAAGCTGAAACTTTCATAGTCTATATCAATCTAGCAGCTTTCTAATGTGGGCTGCAGCTGTGCTCAGAGCAACGTGTCACCCTTTCAAGCGTTCTCAGGGATATCACACAGACACTAAAGAGGCTGTAACATGACCAACACACCTAAAAACTATTGATCTAACATGAGATGCTTCAGGCAAGACTGACTGCCTGACATACAGCAAATGTAATAAAAAGGTGAAACCATTAGTGACATCCAACTTTTCTTAATGAAAGCAACAGACAAGGAGACAAAATGGAACTTCAAATCTCTGTTCTGCTTCCTACTTTCCACCATGCCAAGTCTTAGTTTTACTGTAAGGCAATCTCTCTGAATAGTCTCTCAATATTCATGTGTTACATGGAACACACTGCTCAAAGACATGGGAGATACCACAGTGGTGATCAGATACAACCTGAAGAAAGATGCGAGTAGTCTGTAGCTGAGTAAGAAATGCCACTTGTTCTGTTTGGCTTTGTTTTGTGTGATTTAAATTTTATTTTCTGGGCTTCTTGGGTTTTTTTCCTGCATCTTACACACCTTCAAAAAATATATTTTTACTTCACAGGTACAGAAAAAATGGTGAACAAACAAGCTTTATAGAATGCTAGATGGGCATGATGCACTTGGTAACTTGTTGGCAACAGGAAAAGCTATACTGCATCATTTTACTCTGTCAGTAAAATATAAATTAATTTAAATCTATTCTATTAAAATACAAGTTGTAACTGGAAAGGCTTTTTTCATAAAAAGAGATAAAACTAGCCTATTTTGTGGCATAACGATTAGAAAGACCACAGTGTTATTCCACAAAAATCTTGGAATTCCATAAGCATCTTGCTTAACTCCAGTCTGACTAAACATATTTGTACCCCTACACTTTTCTCCACAGTTCAGCGATGTTTATTCTGTTCAAGAAATTTCCCATGATTAAGCAGCATACTCAATGCTCCTGTGTTTTTTTCAGTAGCATCTAAGACTCTTGTATTCAAAGCACAGAGAAATCCAAGACCTCTTCAAGTCAACAAGAACCCTCCAAGGTCGAGATTTCACCCATAGTAAATAAAACATAACTGAGAGCACTTTGGGACAAAAAACATCAAAAAAATTCAAGCTTACTAATGGAAGAAATGTATCAGAATTACAAGACTGCACTTATTTTTACAGCTAAATAATATGAACAGGTATTTCAAATATTACCTAATGGTATTTTACCGTTCATATTTGATGGGAAAAACATTAAACAGCAGAAATGTATGCACCATAG